GTAACATCCCTCTCCCACAGCAGCACAGATAATCATATCAAACTGGAAATAAAATGCGGGAAATAAAATGCGGGAAGTAAAGATGCGATAAATAAACACAACCCAACAAGCAAACACACAAACGATAGGATTGACTCGCGCAGGGGATGGGAAACGGTCCCAGCATAAGGGATGGGAAAAGTCCCTAGATGCTGTAGTCCCCAGCAGAGTCGCCAGCTGTCGCTTGCGCGAAAATAAGGTGCCGGCATGACAGAAGAGTCGCCACCTTTCGTTATTTATCCCTCAGAGCGGGAAAGGAAACGATCGGAAAAACCTGACGAATAAGGGTAAGACAAGGTCATCGCAACCATTGTCTGGGTTCGGGAGTCGGTTACGCAAGGGGAAGGTATTAGCACCCCTCACGTCCGTCGTACTCGACGGGATCCTCGCTTGTTTGTTTACTTGGACGGGTTGGTTATAATCTATCTACCTATCAAGGCTGGCTGGAAAAGAAAAGAAAAATGACTCGGCAAAGCGTCGCGCTTTATGCCTACGTATTCTCATCAGAGAATGAGAAATCAGAGTCAACGTAGTTCGGCTAACTACGGGGAAAGGTTGGGAAGGTTGCTCGCTAGGATATCGCATCCTATGCCTACGTACTTTCATCTGGTATGAAAGATCAGAGCAAACGTAGTTCGGCTAACTACGGGAAAAACTCAACTAGGAGGGAGACTATCAAGTCCTACTGTTGTCATGCCATGGATTCATCCTATGGTTGAGGTTTGAACAGGGAACTCCTGGATGTTATCATGCATAGGTTTCAACCTAAAAGTCTATCATCAAATCCTCATCAGAGGAAGTGAGAGTCCTAAGGGATCATGTCAATGATACACAGAAACAGACAAAGGCATCAGCTTTAACAGTAAAATGCATGCAATGCAAGTGAGGGAGGAAATGTGTGTGGGGTTTCAGCCTCCACAAGCTCATCTCAACCTCAAGCCAGTCATGAAATAACAGTAATCATACTGAAAATAATCAACATGCTATCAAGCAATAACAGATAAAAGAAATGAAGTGCCATCAGGCAAACAAAACACATGCTTGAGAAAGAAATGATCTACATCTAATCCTAACCCTAACACAGAATCCTAATCAAATCTAAGCAAAGCTCTCAAGCCAAACTCTAAACAAGAGAAATCAATCCCAGTCTTCAAGCTTCAGAACAAGCTTACCAAAGACAGGGAGCTAAGTAAGCAGACTCATAGTGTCTTCCTCAGGAAAGCACCAGGAGGTGTATACTCAGGAGTCATACCCTATGTGGCTCAACCACTGTGATCAGTTTACATTCCTCCTCAGGAGAAATTAAACTCACAAGCAGGCTCCAACATCACTGGATATTTAGGAAATCCTATCTGAACTAGTGGAACTAAGTGAATAGACTCATAGGACCTTCCTCGGGAAAGTGCTAGGAGGCTTCCACTTAGGAATTGTATCCCATGTGGCTCAACAACTGTGATCAGTTTACATTCCTCCTCAGGAGAAATTAAACTCACAAGTTGGCTCCAACATCATTGGATACTTAAGAAATCCTAGACAAACTAATGGAACTAAATGAATAGACCCATAGGACCTTCCTCAGGAAAGTACTAGGAGGCTTCCACTTAGGAATTGTATCCCATGTGGCTCAACAACATGTGATCAGTTTACATTCCTCCTCAGGAGAAATTAAACTCACAAGTTGGCTCCAACATCATTGGATACTTAAGAAAGAGGTGAGAAGAAAGAATGAAAGTCATTCATAGTGCCTTCCTCAGGAAAGTACTAGGAACTTCCCTCAAACTTCAGGATCTCAAACCTCACAGACAGGGGACAAGACAGGCTCTGGGTCTCTGAACCTTGATCTACAATCTTCTCTCCATGATGATCTCCATCAATATCTTCAAGGCAACACAAGCCCCTCAACAAATTCCTCAGAATGAACCCCACAGATGAACAGATAACCCACTGAACAGATCACATCATCAGGCAACTTCAGAAAATACCTAAAAATACTAAACTAATGAAGAAAAATCTAACAAATACTCACAAGGGTCCTCAACACCTACTCATAACATCTACATAGGCCTCTACCTAAAAATCAAGACAAGACTTGCTCAAAGAAAGGGATTCATCACCTAAACACAATCTAAACCCTAATCAGGATACCCTAAATCTACCCTAATTAAACTAATCAAGATTTAATTCTAAAAATCTAGAAAAAAATCCTATAGGGAACTATGATTCATCATCTAATTGCACCAAAAAGAATGGATGCAAAACCCTAAGGGAATGTTCTAAAATAATTCCTACAAAATCATGATACAAAATTAAACAATTAAAAGGCTATTTAATTGGAAAATCTATTAAAAATATTAAACCTAAAAATAAAATCTCAATTTTATTTTTATAATTTTCTATACACTTTAATCTAATTACAGAAAAAAGAAGAAATTAAAAATCATTTTTTTATCTATTTTTAAGGAATTAATCAAAACAGAGAAATAAAAGAAGAAAATAAAAACAATTAAAATGAATTAAGGGAGGGGGGGGGGCATTAAGCAACACGCACTAGGGTTATTCCAGTTGGGCTTTCAGGGTGGGGGTGCGTGTAGCATACGCGTTAAGCCCAGGTACTATCAGAAATCCAATTTAAAAAAAATAAAAGAAAAGGGTAAAACCCTGGTGCGAATAGGAAAGGATCTCAGTGTGTTTTGAAGTGGGCTGGCTTTGGGGGGTGTCATTAGCGGAGTTACTTAAGCCCAAGACACCACATAAACTAAACTCTGCGTTTTGCTTGTGTTTAAATTTCCCTCCATTTCGTGAATCAATCTGGACCGTGGGATGCGATTTCCAGTCAATTAAAACGCATGGATCCGACGGACAGTATATCATCTTCAAGCTTGGCCATAAGCTAGGGTTTCAGACTTCCATTGATGCACCCTACGTGAATACCTTTCTCCCAACGGTTCTCTCTCACTACTCCATGAAATCCCAAAGTGTAAACATCAATATTGCTCCATTTTTCAAGCTCTACACGGCTGGACCGATAGTTTCCATTAAAACACTTCCTACTGACTAACCCGATAGCACCAACTTGAGTAAACACTCCATTTTCGACCTCCTTGTTTCTTGCGTTTCTTGGCACTAACTTACTCTACTCATGGCCCTCATTATTCTGATATAATTATCTAATCTTAACACTCAACATACAAGTAGTTCTTGGTGATTCAAGATTCGAGTCAAAAACTCAAACTCCATGAAATGCTCTTAATCTTTCAGGAATTGGTCCTCTAGTTGTTTCTAACAGTTCTATGCTAGCAACTCAATCTCTCAATGCATAATTAAGGGTGTAAAGAAGAAAATGGCAGACCTGGTTTCTTGATGAACAGATGAGGAATTTGCTCAAACCAAGCCTCAATCTCTTGTGGAATCACTCAGGGAATCACCTCCTTGCTTCTGTTTGCAAGAGTAGAGGTTGAATCTTCCTTAATTCCACGATTTGCTTCTTGATGCAAGCTTGAAAATCCAAGTGATATCCTTCAATTCTGACTCCTTCTTCTCTAACCAATGCCCTGCACCAGCTATATTCCTTATATAGAGAGGTTTAGACTCATCTATAAGGTTCTGGAATGATCCTATGGGATGTTCAATTTATCATGTTATGACATTTTGGTTCCAACCCATCTCATATGCCAATCCTTGCTTCCCTTGGTACAGCCCTTCAATTTCACTTGAACTTCTCCTTAAATGAGTTTTAGGAAGTGTTTAGATGCATTGCAAGCTTGTATGTTCACTTCCCTTGAGTTTCACCTTGGTGCCTTATTATGCAAGTGATGAATTTCCAAAGGGAGTCCATTTTTGGAGCCTCAAATGAAAAATCTATTTAAACCAAAGTTCTTAAAATAGTTTTTCCAATCAAAATGATATATTGGATGACCTATTTTGGATTTGTGGATCTCCCAAATCACTTTTCAATTTCAACTTTTCAAAGTTATAAGCCTTTTTTAGTTCATTTTTGACCAATCATGGAATCTTGTGCTATGAGCTTTTTCAACAATTTGTGACCTTCTTTCTAGACTTAAAATCACATTTTGAGCAACTTTCATGTTTTAAGTTTTTCCATTTGAGGCTTGGAAATAGGAGTTTTAGGCATTGGCTAAAATGACCTATAATTGACAAATGACCAAAATACCCCTGCCTTGTTCAAACCATAAGTTGAGTTCCACAAATCCAACCAAGGACTTCTACCACTCAAATTAAAGCTAAGAAGATCCTCTTCAACATTCATGTTGACCAAGAGACCATAGGAATCATCCTACTAGGGCAAAAGTTGTCTGCAAGTTGGGTGACTTTCAAGGACCCAGATTCACACACCTCTGCTGACCTGTAATTTGTCAAAACCATAACTTGAGCTCTGAAACTCCTATCAAGGACTTCCACCACTCAAATTAAAGCTAAGAACAAGCTCTACAACATTCATGTTGTGGGGAAGATGAGATATCAATCACATCTAGAGCTAAAACTGCCTGGAAAATAGGGATCAAACTAGGGTTTTTTCACTGACCATCCTTGGAAACCCTAGCTCAAAACTTCTCAAACTCCTCAATCATGATGAGTTGGTCTAGGAATCATCCTTATAACATCTCTATACATCACTCCATGATCTCCTGGCCCTTGGATTAGGTCTCAACCCTCTCCAAATCTTCAGCTGATCTAGGGTTGACCCAGTCAAAACCCTAATTCTACCATTCATGGTTGAACCTTCTGAATTCTTACACAATGACATCTCAGGGCTTCATGATGACTTTCAAGACATCTCATGAGCTTTCTCAAAACATCAAGTTCATTCTCAAAGTCTCAGAATCATCTGAGGAGCACCCACAACTTTCAAACTGTGAAGCACACAACCCTGGTTTCAACCAATTCTTCTGAAGATCTCTTGGACTGTCTGATGAAGGTATCAACTTTCAAACACTCAATGGATGAATAATTGTTGGTCAAATTTTGGGGTGCAACATGGTGTTGACAACATTTGGATTAAACCAGGTGCTAAAGTCCTTTACCTAGGAGCTGCTTCAGGAACAACTGTCTCTCATGTGTCTGATATTGTTGGTCCCACTGGAGTTGTGTATGCAGTAGAGTTCTCCCACCGAAGTGGGCGTGATTTGGTTAACATGGCCAAAAAGCGTACTAATGTTATTCCCATTATTGAAGATGCTAGACATCCAGCCAAGTACAGAATGTTAGTTGGCATGGTAGATGTCATATTTTCTGATGTTGCTCAGCCTGATCAGGCAAGAATTTTAGGTCTGAATGCTTCATACTATCTTAAAGCCGGAGGCCATTTTGTTATATCCATCAAGGCCAATTGCATTGATTCTACAGTTCCTGCAGAGGCAGTGTTCACTAGTGAAGTGAACAAGTTGAAGGCAGATCAATTTAAGCCATCTGAGCAAGTGACTCTTGAACCATTTGAGAGGGACCATGCTTGTGTTGTTGGTGGATACAGAATACCTAAGAAGAAGAAAGATGCTGAATAGTCTAGTCAGTGTCCTGCAGAGTTAACATGTTATAGGGTGCGTAATTATCGAAGGTTCTCTTCTGAAAAGGGAGCTGGCATGGTATCCGCAGATAGTTCCCCAACTATTGATAAAGTATGCCTCAAGATGTCATTGGAAAATATTGTGAAGGATATCCCATCTATTACTGATAAATCTTGGACATATGGTGATCTAATGGAAGTTGAATCGAAGATACTGAAAGCATTAAAACCAAGCCCTCATCTAGATCCTACTCCAAAGTTGGATAGGCTGTGTGAAAGTTCAGTTCCAACAAAGCTTAATTTGCAGAGAAAGCGATTAAGGAATATCCCAGAGTTTACTGTTACTTCTAGTAATAAAACCCATGGGAAAAAGGTATGCATTGATAGAGTACAAGAGAACTCAAATAGCAGGTTGGGTGATCCAGGAATCACTACATCTAATGCTACTGGGCAACAGACTCTTGAAAATCAAGCAATGCAAAATCTTAACTCAAGCATTGCCATGGCCATGAGATCTAAGAATATTATGCCAGATTCTTCTATCCCTGGATTTTCTATGATGTCTCAGCAATCAAGATATCCAATGACTGTTGGAACTCTAAGAAGCTTGCAGGAGCATGGATCGATATCTGGTGTTAATTCATCCGGGGCTTCTCCTGCTGCCCAAGATGTCATGATTTCCTATGCTGATAATCCAAACGCAAGTGTATCTCTTCATGCAAAAAGAGAGTATCCGGATGGACAATCATCACCTTTATCGAATATTGCAAAGAGAATGAGGTCTGCTCCCACAGGTGTTGATGCAATGCAGCAGCAGCAATTAGGCTCACATGTTGACGCACTTCAAGGATCAGATATGAACTGGCAGAATACACTATTACAGCAACAACCACAGTCGGGTAACACTATCTTAGACTTGTTTATGGTGATGAATACACTGTTATGGCATTTTCCCAACTTGAATCCTTTGTTGTTTTGTGAAATTTTGATTATATTCCTGGCTGCTAAAAATCCTGCACCCATGTAAATGTTATTGAATCATTGCTGGTGTACCTCACATTTTGAATCCAGTATAGTTGTTACATGGCGGCAGCATTTTGCTTCGAAAGTTCTGTTGCAAGCAGTAGTGTAATTAATTTTGTGTTTCGATTTCGTTTCTATGCATTTGATTTCATGTGCATTAATTTAGTCTGGTTGCTAGTGAGGAGATCAAAATGAAGTGATTTCATATTTGTTGTTTCACCAGAGTATTGTGCCATTGTGCTGAGTATCATTTTAAGTCGGTTCCAGTAATTGAAGGTAGTAGCATTACATTCATGACATTTGGTTTGAATATTTGGTTGGAATTAGTAAATACACTTGCAACAGTTTTAACTTTTAATTTTCGTCAATTCCGATTTCGTAAGTTTTAGATGTGGTTGTTGGCTAATGGGTGTTGTTATTAATTTGTGCTTGAGTGCCTATTCGTTTGCGTATCGATTTCAGTTACAACTTCGTGAATTCATGAGCTACTGATGGCTGTTGCTATTCGATTGTTATTGCTGATGTTTTCACGTTTCAGTTTTAATGTTGTTGGTTTTTTTGCTGTGACCTTGTTCAATTGAATGCACTACTCGGTGAATGAGTAATCTTTGGATTAAGTACATGAAGTATGCTGGTTTTTATTTATAGCTGATGTTGGTGGATTAATATAACAGTAACTTTTGTGCAAGATTTATATTTGTTTGTTTTGGAGGTAGTTTGCCCTGTATTTGCAGCAATACAACTCCATACGCATCAACGAGTCCGGCCAACGAATTCACGTCTTCTCAACAACTTTGACACCGCAACCATATCAGTGTTGATACATGTACCGCAGCAGCCTCATCTCCAACAATCTTGTGGCAGCTCTCACTCTGGTTATACGGCATTGGTAAATCCTTGAATCCTTGCTCTTTGGTTCAATTGTATATCAGCACTCGATTGGGCTTGTTTGCTACTGGAGATTCGATGTATTTATCTTTGTTTTTAAGGCATTTTATGGTTGTTTTTATTCTAAAATTTGTGTCGAATATCCGACGTGACGTCGTTAATATTCAAGGTGTTGTTTTGAATTAACAATATGAGTTCTCGGTTAGTAAATCGTATCTAGCTTTTATTGTGCTCAAATGTCATTTTCAAAAATATATTTCAAAAAAATCATTACCAAATTAATACTTTTAAATGATAAACTTTTCAAAAATATACTTTATTTAAAATCTATTTCTTCTTGAAGATATTAACCTTTTCAAAAACAACTAATTATAATAACGTTTCAAGTAAAAAAAAAATATATACTTTACTAATAAAGTTAAAATATTTTTTCTGGGATACTAAACTTTTTCTTCAAAAAAAAAATAATAATTAGTTATGATTGATTTTTCTCAAAAAAACTCTTTACAATTGATTAATTTATTTTATATGAAAATTAAAACTATCTTTCTTAATTAAATTAAATTTTTTTTCTCAATCAAATTATACAATCTTTCTAAAATAAATTTCAAAACAATTAAATTCTTGGATCTCGCCTTCCTTGAATTTCTTAGGCGATCGTTCTCGAGGTGCACACTTCGAGTTGTGACCCTCTCGATCTTATTTTCTAGAATATCTAGCGCGCCTAGTTCGAACACACTAATATTTTCAAATTATTTTCATAATTAAATTACGAAAGTATCGAGTTCTTGGAGTCGTGCATTCCTTGAATTCGAGAATGGTTACTATCAAGGTGTACACCTTGAATAGTATATCATTCGAACTTTCGTTCCTAAAACACTTCTTAATTATTTGGACCAATACTTACATTGTCCAACAAACACAGTTTTCGAAAACGAATGAAAAAGGTATCGTTGGAATCTAGCATTCCAGTAATATCCCGATTAATTGGTTGCGAGGCCGACGTCTCGTTTATCGATTAGTCGTCATTCCTCCTAAAGTTTTCAACCCATCTAACCTCGTTCCTCACTCACGTGTGATCGAGTCTAAACACTAGTATGTTTCTAAACCATACGTCAAATTCAAATCCTTTTTCTTAATCAAATTACGAAAGAATTGAGTTCTTGGAGTCTCGCACTCCTTGAATTCTTGAACGACAACTATCGGGGCGTACGCCTTAGGTAGCGTGTCATTCGACCTTTCGTCTAAAACACGCGCCTTAACTATTTGGACAAGTATTCATTGTCCATTCAAATACAATTTCCTAATTAATTGAATGAAAAAGGTGTCGTTGGGATCTAGCATTCCAACGATATCCCGACTAATTGGTTGCGAGACTGACGTCTCGTTTATCGAGTAGTCGTCATTCTCTCTCTCAAAATATCTAACCGACCTTATCTTCTTCGCCTCCGTGCAATCGAAACCCTAACTACCTATTCAACTTAACTCTCTCTTTCTCGCCCTCGTGCGATTGAAACTTCCTCAAACATATTTCGTAATTATTCGAATGAAAAAGGTGTCGTTGGGATCTAGCATTCCAATAATGCCCCGATTAATTGATTGCGAGGCCGACGTCTCGTTTATCAAATAGTCGTCATTCTACTTATCTAACCAAACTCCTATTTCTTGCCCCCGCGCAATCGAAACCACAAACCTATTCAAATATATCCTCTAACCAAAACATCCAATACGATAAACACTAAATTCCTCGCCCTCGTGCGATCTCCAACCTAAATACCTTTTACCAAGAACATTGTTTAGTCCCTTCTTCCGCGCATGACAAACTAGTGCTTCACCCTCCCCTAGCGAGCAGACAAGCCAACGTTTAGCAGTTAGAACGCGACCTAAGCACTCGTTCGTTCCCAAACCTTTTACCGTAGTTAGCCGAACTACGGCTGCTCTGATTCTTCATTCTCTTTCGAATGTAAGATACGTAGGCACAAGATTGCGATGATCTTGGCGAGCACAATTCCCCTTTTTATCCGTAGTCCCACGAACTACGAATGCTCTGATTTTCCACTTCTTATAAGTGAAGATACGTAGGCACAAGGGCCCCAATCCTTGGCGAGCACCCTATCCTATAACCATCCATTCCCCCTATAGGAGAAACCTTAGAAGAAAACAAACAAGCGTAGTTAACTTTACTCTCGAATCGATCAAGAGGTTCCCGTTGAGTACAACGGACGTAGAGGGTGCTAATACCTTCCCTCTGCGTAACCGACTCCCGAACCTAGAATATTGGTTGCGATGACCATGTTCTTATCTCCTTAAAGGTTTTATCGATATTTTCCTATTCCATCCTTGGAATGAATAAAGTTCGGTGGCGACTCTGTTTCGAACAGTATTTTCCGCGGCCATCGCGAGGATCGTATTTTTCGAGGTACGACAGTGGGCTTCCCGTTGGTTGTTGGGATTGTGTCGCCGACGTTGTCCTCGGGGTCTGACTCTTCGGTGAAGCGGCTGTCGAGGTCTGCTGAGCCGACCTGGTTCTTTGGCTTGCCTTCTGGTGCGTTGGGGGGCGCTGCTTTCTTGGCTGGCGCACCAATAGTACTTAATCCCTTCAGGGCGGCCTCGAAACACCGGCGGGCGGTGTCGATGTCTCCGTTGAGGGTGACGATGGCTCCTCTCTTGGTGTAGTATTTCATCTTTAGATGAACAGTGGAGGGCACCGCGGTGAGTTCATATATCGTTGTTTTGCCCAGGATGCAGTTGTAGAGGGACGAACACTCAACGAACAGGAAACAGACATTGATCTCCCTGGTTGTCTCCTTCTCTCCGAAAGTGACCTTCAGCTCCGCGTACCCCCATGGCCTTGTCGTTGTCCTGTTGAAGCCCTAGAGGTTAAAACCTAGGTACGGGGACAGGCTGGTCTCATCGAGCTAGAGAGTGAAGAAAATGTGGGTGTACATGATGTCCACCGAGCTACCTCCATTGACTAAGATGCGACGAACGTTAAAGTTCGCCATCTGTGCCCATATCAGGAGAGGGATGTTGGAGTTGGGGGCACCACCGGGGAGTTCCTCGAGGTAGAAAGTGATCGGGTTAGAT